ATCCTTCTCTCTTCCTTCTTTCCACTCTGATTTCTCTCTTTTCCCTCAAATTTATCTCCTCTCCAGAAGGCAACTAACTTTTAATACATTTTTTCATTTAATTGCAGCAATAGCCAAACCCTATTTTAGTGCTTGTAACGAGAGAGGGAGCAAAGGGAGGGAGGAGACAGAAGAAATGAAAACCCACATATAAATAAGAGAAATGATAAAACATAAAAAATAAAAATTGAAGGATTTGAGTCTCCTCCAAGAAACATCAAACCAATCACTTCAACTCCATAAATCCATCAATCAAAAAGCAAAATTAAGCAAACCCAATTCACAAAACCTACGATTGAAAAGGTAAAAATTGAAAATGAGTGGGTTAGAGAGAGAGTTCTTGAGCATATTTGAAATTCGAAACTTAGAGAGAGAGAGAGAAGAGAGAGAAAGAGAGAGAGAACTTAGATGAATAAGATGGATGGGCTAGAAAGAGCTCTTGGATGAAGAAGATGGGTGGCTTAGGGTTCTTTGAACTAGAATCGGGGGACATAGATTTCTCTCTCTTCTCTATTTTTCTCTTTACAAAATGAGAAATGAGAGTTGAAATTTTTGGATAACCCATTTATATAGGAAGACAATTTGGTCATTTTAAGGTATATAAAAAATCTTATTTTTGTCCGATTATTGTGTATGTCGTGTGCATATTTGAAACATCATATTTCTACCACAAGATAAAGAAATTATCCAATTTTAAAGTATTTTTCCTAAAAGAATGAAAATTACTGTTTTCCCATTTAACCGACAGTTTGAAATATACTGGGCCGCTACCGACTCCATTGGGCCCAAATCTATAGTCAGTATACCGCGAACACTCTCGTCTCTTCCCTCTTTCGTCCTTCCAGTTTCCCAAAGCATTTCCTTTCGCGCAAGCAAAAAAAAAAAGCAACGAGAAAAACCCACCGATCAATCGCACTGATTCACACAGCCATGGCGAACGACAAGTCGGTGATGGCAGTAATCAGAGCCGCGAGGCCGAACTTCCGCAACAACGACGACAGGGTCGTTTTCGCCGTTCACGCCTCCTTCCTCGCCGCTGGCTACGTCCTCACCGCCGCTGGTCCCCCCGCCTTCTCCGATTCCGTTCTCTCCTCATCTTCTATGGGTACCCACTTGTTTAATTTCGATAAATGTTTAACTTTTCTTAGAAATAATTGATAGTGTTCCTCAAATTTTTGTGGGTTTTGTTAATTTGGGGTTGCAGATGAAGTGGGCATGGAGCAGTGGAACGAGCTCGACGGCGAGTACGCATTTGTCTATATGAACCCAGAAAAGGGCTCGAAGAAGGTGCTGGTTAAGTGCCTTACAATGAACGGCAAGTTGCTTGTGGATGCACTGGTTAATGGGAGCTCTCAGCCCATCCATCTCGAAATCGAGTAAGCTTCTGCTGCGATTCTTTGGGCTTTTACAAATTGGGTAGTTTTATTCTTGCTTGTTAATGGGTTTTCTGCGGTTAACGAAACAAATTACAGTGTTGGTGATTATGTTGGAGAGGATGGGGGCAGCAATTACTCCACACAGTTCAAGAATTTAGAAAATCTGGTGAAGAAATTGGATACTGAAGTTCTGTCAAAATTATATGGGTCTGGATCTTCCACATCCGGTTCTTCAAGTAACCCTGTAGGGTAACTGGGTTTTGTCTTGGAATCGCTTCGGTTATGCTGACATTTTTGTTTTTAATCTGAGTTTTGCATGCATTATTTGATGTAGAAGTGTATTAATACTCTGCTAAAGTAGTCATCGTTAATTGTTATGCTAATTTATCGGTATTTAGGTTAAGAATCAGTGAATGTTCTTTTTACGGACTACTTTCTTTTTGTTATGGAACTCTGCAGTTCAGAAAAGAGTGAGAGATCAACAACTGAGCCTGTTTCTGGACCTTCAGGCTTTCACACTAGACCTTCAGCCCCTTACACTGATCCTTCAGGGTATCTCTCTCCCGCTCTCTCTGCATATGTGTATTTTATGTCTGTGTACGTGTGATTCTAAGCAGTCTATATGTTTGTTAAGTTTTGCTAGCTTATGCTTTGGGTTTTGTAGAAAGTCTGTTTCTTTGATAAATCTTAAGTGCCCTTTTTTGGTTGCTACCTGCCTGTTACACCCGCCCTAGATTGTTATAATATATGTTTGCTGTGGTATTAAGAGGGGGACATTGATTCAGTCCCTAACAAAATGGAGCAGACAGTTGATGTCTATACATTCAAAAGTTAATGTCACATTGATAATCATTGACGCTGATGGTCCTCCCTCTTGGGAATTCGTCTGTTGACGAGTTGTGTCATATTCATCGCCTTGTAGAGCAGTGTTACTGCCTTTACCATTTGGGACTGGCCATGGGACCGACATCTTATGAATTTTCAATTTTAGAGGGTCCATCTATTAGATTCATTTCAGTATGTTTAACTAAGTCGATTTGGGAGTAGTAGCTTAGATTGTAAGGCAATTGTATGTGAGACTTGGCTTAGGTTTTTCAAGAGTCTAAAACTAGTTATGTATCATGCTTTCCTGTTTATAGCATCGTATACTCTTTTCATTATCTAATTTGGAAGATTATTTTTACTTCTTAAGTCTCCCCATCAATTTGTAAGGAAATAACTAGGAGCCTAGGAGGTTCAAATTGTCATTTTATAGATTTAAAATATAAATAAATCAAAACTTTCTTTCTTGAAAGATTATTAGTAAAATGGCATCCGATTCTACCTTGTAAGAGGACCCTAAATGTTTTAATTTTTTCGGAGGTTTTTCATTCAGATTAATTAGAGGTTAGTTGGTAAGAGAATTTGGGAATTGCATTGACTTTGTTAGGAAGAAAGTAGACAGTCATGGCAATGTCTTTTTTGTTGTGATCGGAGTGAGTTAGCAGCGTCATGCTTAAAATTTTCATTTGTATCCTTGAAAGTTTCCAAAACATGCAGTTTACTCTCTGTTTTCTGGCTTGCTTTGCAGAATTGTATATCCTCCTGTCATGCCTTATGGTGGTAGTGATGTTCTTCCTGGGCCTGGTGCTGGAGTCTACCCTTCAAGGTATTGTATTTTAACAAGACATCATATTGGGGTTTTCATTGCAGTTTCGAACCCGGTTTTACTGTTTTACTGTTTGACTTTTGACAACATGTTTCTTATGTCAATCTTTCAGGGGTGATGGTAGTGGAAGCATGCTTGTCGGTTTGTACAATACTCATTTACTCTTATTGTGCTGATATTAATCACGTTACTTTTTTTTTTTTATTGGGACTCACATTTCATTTGTTGTGTCAAAATAGGACCCCATGACCCTCGTTGGTTTGGTGGCGTTGGAGACCCTGGGTTTAGTTTTGATCCCTCTAGACCTGCAGGTGTTCCACCAGGTGCTCGTTTTGATCCCTACGGGCCCCCAGGTGTTCCAGGTTTTGAGCCTAATCGATTTGCAAGGTAAGTGGAATAGCAAAGTTTCACTAAAATTGAAATTAGGTTCTTCCCTGGTTCCCACCTGATAGAGCTTTCATTATTTTTCAGTTGAATAAGCCTTTTTTTTGTTTTTTTTATTTCACTCGAGGCCTTTGATCTTACTTAATCCGTCATGGTGAATTGAGATTGTTACCTGTGTTTTCACTTTTACTTTCCAAATGGATGTACAATTGTTTACGGCGTTTGGGAAGTGAACAAATAATGAATGATAGATGCAAAGTTTCCAAGAATACCTTCACTGGAGTATATTATGGTGTGATTTCTTTGTCTTCCAGGAATCCACGGAGGCCGCCAGGAGGTGGCACTCATCCAGACCTGGAGCATTTCGGGAGCGGCTCAGATTTCATTTAGATATGCTGTTCAAGCCAGAAGTAGTTTGTCATCAAATAAGAAACTCGAGTACTAATAGGAGCTGACAGAGGATCTCTCTTTTTCCTTTCTTGTTTGGCATGCAAGTTGCTATGTAAATGTAAACGAGAGGGTTTTCATAGGAGTATCATGTATGTTGTCTGTATATTTAAAATTTTCCACTCCTTATCCTCGGTTTCGCGTTTGTGAGGAACTTTTGGTTATCTGAAAGCGGTTTAAGCCCTTTCCAAACGATATCAATGTCGTGTATGATGTGTTGCATTTTTGTCACCACCCTTCCTTCTAGTTCCTAAGAAAAATAGACTACAATTATCATATGCCCGCCCCTTAGGCGGAGGCTGACAAGCTGCATATGTAATCTGTTTTTGGCTCCTTTAATACGAGTGTCCATCCTTTGGAGAAAATGTAAGGCCGGTTTCTCACCTGTCTCTAGGGGTGGAAAAAATTCCCGAAAATCCCAAACCGAACCGAAAAAATCCTGATCCCAAATCAAAAATTTCCCAAACCAAAATTCCCGAAATTTTCGGGATGCTATCCCGAACCAATCCCGAAATTTTGGTATGGGATTTGGGATTGACTTCTCAATATTTCGGGAATCCCATACCAAACAGAAATTATATATTATTAATTTATATATATATATATTATATATTATTCTTTTATAATTGATGCTAGTAGTTTCTAATTCATGCTCTGCAACCTGGAATACCTTACACCTTGCATATTTTTCATGTTCTGTTTGATATTCATTTGGATTTTATTATTGTTACTGTCATGACTAATGATTTCAGAAGGTTTGATTCTTTTGTCTCTTAACAGATTGTCAAAAGGGTTTAATTAATTTGAATTTTGACTTTGATAAAAACAATCAAGCATGCCAATATTTGATTAAATGGTAGTGTGAATGAAATGACATTCCTAGTTCATGAATGTGTTCTTAAATTATATATTTGAAGAATAATTCATAATTTCATATTTTAATTTGGGCCGGATTCCCGATTTGTCCCGAAATCCCGAAAATATTTCGGGATTCCTGAAATTTTGGTTTGGGATTGGTCTTCAAATTCCCGTCCCAAAAAATTTCGGTTTGAGATTCGGGATACTACTTTTGGCTCGGTATCCCATACCGAACCACCCCTAACTGTCTCAACAACCATCATCAGATCACAAAAATCCAAAAACGTTGACGGCCTCATCTGTGGGCCCTTATAGATGTCGCTTGGCATCTTGGATCAAGAGCGATTTCATATGAAATTACGTTATCATGGCAGCATTTAAAATAGTGCAAGTCTTATCTGTAGTTCAGATTACTACGAAATATCGTTTGTACAAAGAAAAAAGAAATACATAACTTTGTGGTATTATTCCTTCGATAGATGTTTGACATTTAAAAAGAATACCACCAATTTAAAAAACTTTTTGACAGGTAATTTTTTTTTTTTATTACAAGAGAGTTTCTCTGATGATTAAAGTCGGCCACTTGAAAAACTAGGAGTAAGAAGGAAGAAGGAAGCTTCCATGCAATTCCATGTAAAATTCCAAAACCTGCAGAGACGTAAGAATCCGGGAAGCGTGTGAAACATTTACCTGCGTTTTCTCTAGAAGCCCATCTTTTCTTTTTAGTCCTCCAGATCAAGAGAATTAAACACAAAAAACCACCTACCTTCTAGATTGACAGAGACATTTCAAATATAATAAACCCTTCGTTGTTATCTCATGTGTTTCTATACCCTTGTTCCTTATATATGTTTTTTCTAGTTGGAATTAAAATATCTACTTCTGAACCCACTACCATTACTAATTCCTGGACCTTCTGCAGCTGCAAAAAGCACAGATCTTGCTGGGAAAAAAGCACAGATATGAGCCTTCCAAAGTATTCTCTTCTTCCTTCTTGTTGCTTCTGGTGGTTGTTTTTGCGTCTGGGAAATCTTCAGCTGCTGAAGGAAGACCACTCTCCCTCTTGCCACAACAAGGTAAGAATTTCAAGCAACGTTACGTCTAACATGTATTCCCAAACTCTGAGAGAAACTCGTCGTTGTTGCGGTATTTTAAGCCAATCATGTATTGTCATGCATGAAGGGTTTGGTTTGAAATACCGCTACCGGGGAAATCACAGATTACAGTTTCTGAATTTGGGTATAATTGAATTGACTTAGATGTCTTGTGTGAATAAATTGCAGGATATGCGCAGGTTTTTGGTACACTTGGAATAGTTTGCGAGTGTTGTGATGGAGGTGAATGCACAAGTACCTGGACTGGGTCTTGCAGTAATCTGACATGTCTTCCTTGGAAACAGCATTAACAGCCCTAGAGATTTTTTTTTTTTTTTTTGTTTTCTTTGGCTTTCTCTTCTTCTTCTATATACTTCGTAAAATTAATATACTAGTGGAATTAGAGGGTTATTTTTCCCCTTTTAAGCTGTGTTATGTAAATCGTTATTTTACAGCTAAGGGAGTTCTATGAGTTCACTGTTTGATTGCCTGTCTAATACTAATGATTCTGAACTAATAATTGCCTAACTAGAAGATATTTGATGCTGGTACATAAAAGTTTATGTATTGGCTCGATTAAGTTACAAGCCAACTAGTTTTGTTCGTGCAAATTGTACGTATCATAGGTGGTTAACAACATTTACTCTTACACTTGATGCTCTGAGTCAGGATTTCTCCCCTCATTGAACAAAAACAAAAAATAAAAAACCTGCTAGCATCTACTTAGAGAACCAATCCTAGTGGTTGTCATTGCTAAAGAGTGTGGGTGTGGGTGTGGGGAGATTTCAGGTGGAATTGAGATCAGAAACGTGGCTGAAATTTCTTCACTCGCATCAGAAAAGAACTTTCCACGTTTAGAGCTTTGGAAAGTAGGCAATATGATATTATACATAGCCGCCGATTCAAATGGAGCTGGGTCCTAAGGTACTCCATTTTTCTTTAATTCTTAATTTAAAAGTAAAAATCAAATAAAGGTTCTGTACTATAGGACGTGATTGTTATTCCAGTTTAGATCCTTTATTTGGGAAGGGAAAAAAAAAAAAGTAATAAACTGCATTACTAAACTATATAAGGTACCTACCAAAGAGGACGAAGGACAAGAGAGGGAAAATTTAAGATAGGTTATGTCATATGATTTTTGGACTAGGAGAAAAGAGAGTAATGAATTGGATATAAACATACCTTCCAAAAAGAAAGAATGAGAAAAGAAAATGCTTTAGAGTTGTGCTAGAAATTATTGCCAGCACGTTGTTGCGGGATTAAAAATTGTAAAAAATATTATGTTTGAAAGATATAAAAGATTGTGTCATAGAAGATTAATACAATTCATTGCTATATTTAATTGAGACTCCACATAAAAATCGTAGAAGTTTTGGCTATCTCTGTACATAAAATATTAGATTAACACATTCCACTTAGGTAGTTTTTGCGATTTTCGATCGACAACAGTACTTATATACTTGTATACAAAAGATTATGAAACTTTGGACTATTTACATGCAAAAAATGTTAAATATCATGTCATTTACATTGATAAAATATGACAAAAATTGTTCAATGGAACACCAAAAGTTCCCTCCAGTACTATTGATTGTCAAGAAAGTAGTTTAAACCAATCCAAAGACCAAAACTCTTTCAAAGTTCCATGTGGATTCAGTTTCTCTAAATCAACCAACTTCTCCATTCCAAACTATCCAACAACTATTTGACAACAATACAACCAACCGCCAACAAACATTTTAAACCCATCCAAAGACCAAAACCGTTTCAAATTTCCATGTGTATTGATGATTTTCAACTAAATTATTTGGAGATGGAGACACACAGTGCTAGCATAGGAACCAAAGAAGATCTGCAAAAGCAAGTTAAGAGATCATCGTATTACAGAAGCAAATTACATAATAAAATTAAGAGAGCATCATATTACAAAAGCATAATAATGTTCATTTCCGAATGTATTACAAAACCTATAGTTTCATTCCACTTCACATAATTCACAGGGTTTTTTTTTATTTCTATTTTTTCAACCCACAATTTACAGCTTAGTTCAAAGAATTTGATCTGATTATTAATATTCACACGGAAAAGATAAGACTCAAATGAGCTGGGCATTTGAAGTCAATTTCTTATTTCTTATAACCACATCAGTATCATATATATACAAACGTAGCAAAAGAGAATAGCAAGTGCAAGCACAAATCTTGTGATAGTATACAAAAAATGACTAAACCCGAAATTCCCAACACATACACCAATCTCATACAAAAGTCGATATCTTATCGAGAAGAAATTAGAATATCAAAATCCTAAACAAAACATGAGGCACAATTATCACAATTAGAAAAATATTTCAAATAAGAGCCAAACCAAAAATGCACATAAAGGTAAGTCATGAACTCAAATAAAACTCACTCTGATCTCATTTCTAATTATGAATGCTATCGGGACTCCAATCTTCTCATCCCAGTCGAAAATAACGTCAAATGCAGACTCCTCTGCTGTTTAGAGGGTGATTGTGGTAACCCAAATTTCCAATTATGCTGCCTTTCCAACTTTTTCTTGCAACCACGTTTCTAAAAAAACAGATTGAATTCAAAAGGTAAATGGACCAAGGCATAAAAAGACATAAGAAAAAGTATAGAAAGTATAAACCACATATATCACGTATTATACTACTTTGTATTCCAAATACACATAAGAATATATCCATTAGTGAATGGTTTAGTTCCAATTAATCCCACCTTTATTTTTTTCTCAAACCCTTCAACTTATCCTTCACTTTGTTTTTCAACGGCATCATATTTAAGAGTTAGCTTCCATCAAACCCTTCATCTTATCCCACCCTTACTTTCCTCTCTAACCCTTCATAATCCCACTTTTACTCTCTCAAACCCTCAACTTACGGACTTTGTTTCTGCTGCTTAGTTTCATTTAAAAGCTTATTTCTCAACAAAATCATCATTAGTTTCAGTCTTAAATAATCAACGCAAGAGAACTCAGGAATCATTCTCCACTCTCTCGGTGACCAAACAGATGATAAGGAAGTGGAGAGAACGGGTCGTTAAGAAGAAGAGTACCTCAAATGTTTAGAAATTAAGAAATTGAGTAGCTCAGTTGCATACAGAACGACAACGTTTCGACTTAATATTTTAAACTCTTCATAGCATCAATTTCCATCTTAAATTAGAAAAAACCTCCAACGTTAGAAATATGAGTACTAACGAATGCTTAGTAAAAGAATTAGCCAATTCTAATTAAGAATTGTTAATCAAACTGTAAAAACAACATACATATTTTTCCAGCTTCAAACACAGAACCAACAGAAAGAATCCAATTGAAAACTGAACAGCCCAAACAGACCATGAAGATTATACAATCAGAAGAAGAGATATTTGGAGAAGAAGAGGTCATTACATAGTCGAAGGCAGCCGAGCAGCAGCAGAAACTGAAAAAAGCAAACAACTTTGGCCTCAAATTTTATCCATAGAATAATTGAAAAAAATAATAAAATTAACAGGTAGGAGTGATAATGTTATTAATATGTGGGTTGTGTGTTGATTTGTGTCTTTGAAACACCAAGAGGTAAAAAAATCGAAACAAAGTGGAATATAAATCTTAAAATTTTTTAGCCAAAAACATCCTCCCTAGATAAAACTGAACGAAAAATTCATAAATATAAAATTAGAAAAATTAAATCATTGGAAAAACATACATGACAACGAATAAGGCAATTGCAGGCCTCTTAAGCTTGTTCGGAACCTTCGCAACCTCCTTGCTCGCATCTCTGCGTTTACTCTTTAACCTATGAAAATCAGAAACCAACAGAGACACACAAATAAAGATGAGATATGTGCATAATATCAAACAAAGAAACTCATGAACCAGCCTGTCAAAATCATTGATGGAGAAATGATAAATAACGGATTCTCAAAGATACAGAAACCTATTCTTGGACATGCAACCAACAGGTCTACAGAAAATTAAACACAATTTCAAAATCGACGGTTCATATCGAGATCTCTGATCAAATCTTAAAAAGTGAAGAAAATTCATAACAAAACGGAAAAAAAAAAAAAACATAATCTCACTTCTCATCAGTTTTTCTGTGAGCAGCAACTCTTGATTTCCCCATGTTCAACTAACCTCCACTGAAAAAGAAAAAATAGAGAGAAAAACATTGCTAGCAGATGGAGCGGAGGAGACGCTGTCCAAGGGTTGAGGAATAAGGATGGAGGAGTCTGTAAAAGGAGACAACAATGATTCGAGTTTGCTGAGACAGAAAACTAAAGCGAAGCAAAAGCAGAGAAAGAGGAGATAGGTAAAGTGACACACGTCCCTACTCAACACGCGTCACTACGCTAAGCCGCCAGGTGACAGAATCAAACTGTAGAAATAATTCTCTCGAACAACCCAAATTTTCAGCCTCCTTCAATTTCAGGCAGAAATGAAATAAAAGAACCAAAACACGGGTAAAAACGAAATGACACTGTAGAATGAACAGTGATCTGAGTCAGCAAGGATTCAAAGGGAATTAACTTGAAAGTTTGAGTTAGTATATACTCGCAAGATAAGCTCGCGCGATGCTGCAGGATTGAAAGTTGTACGAAAATCTTGTACGTAGTATTATTTGCACATAAAAGATAATACTTAATGTGTATCCATATTATTTACATACAAAAGATTTAGTAAATAATCTTATTTACATATAAAATATAATACTCAATGTACATGTACACAATAGTTACATAGATATTTACTATATTGTCCATTGGTCCTTTACTTTGATAGTGTTAGTGTGTGTGTGTTTTCTGTATATTTCAATGGAGGTTTTCTGCAACTTTCGAAAATGGTAGAGAATGTAGAGAATTTCAGAGAGAAGATGATGGAATTAATTTTTTGATTTTTTCACACACCAAGCATGTGTGTGTTTGTTACCATTATACATGGAAAAGAAGGGAGATCCTTCACTCACCAAACCAAGATACAATCTCAACCCTTAATTACTATCACCCTATGAGATGATGCCACTTGTCTTAATCTATCACTTAAGCTAGATACAAGATTGAGCTGCCATATGGACTATGATCCAATAGCTTAGATTCAAACTGGAAACAAAAACATTTAAACTGATTCTTTGCCGCCAACCTTCAGCTGAAGGGTTACATACCAACACTCCCTCTAACCCTTTAGCTGATTTAACTCCGAGTAGCTCCCTTAGATATGCAAATCAATCTTTAGGCAAAGCTTTAGTGAGTATGTTTGCAATTTGTTCATTAGTCTTGTAGTACACCAGTTCAATCTCTTTAGCTTGAATTGTTTCTCGGATGAAATGAAATTTTTTGCTGATTTGTCTTGTCTTTTGATGAAGGACATGGTTCTTTGCCATAGCAATGGCTGATGTGTTGTCACACATGATCTGAGTTCCTTCCACTTGTTCTTATCCAAAATCCTCAATTACAAACCTTAGCCATTTTGCTTGAGAAGTAGCTTCTGCAGCACTAACATATTCTGCTTTGGTTGTGGACAATGCCACTGTGCTTTGTTTGATCGATGCCCATGAGAATACACCGTATCCTAGTGTAAATGCAAACCCTGAAGTGCTCCTCATATCATCCTCACTTCCTGCCCAGTTACTATCACAGTAACCAATTAGAGTAGTTGTCTTCCTTTTTTCAGAAACAATTCCAAAATCAATTGTTCCCTGAATGTATCTTAGCATCCTCTTTGTTGTCCTCATGTGTTTCTTAGTAGGATTATACATGAACCTTGCCAATAGATTTGCTGCAAACATCACATTAGGTCTAGTTGCAATCAAATAGAGCAAGCTTCCCACAATCTGCCTATATTCTCCTTCATTTGCAGCTTCACTTCCATCAATCTTGCTCAATCTCTTATTCATTGCAGTGGAGTAGCTACTACTTTGCAGTCTTTTAATCCCAACTTCTCAATCAACTTCTGTGCATACTTCTTTTGGTGTATGAAAATACTCTTCTCAATTTGTAATACTCCCATTACAAGCAAAAGGTGTAATAATCCCAAATCTATCATCTCATAGTGCTTCATGATGTCATCTCTAAACTCTTCAAGCATTTGTGGATTGCTACTAGTGTATACAATAATGATACATGAATCCTCCCTTGTTTTCACATATAAAGTTGTTTCACTTGAGCTCTTCTTGAAACCATCATTGTTGAAATAGGCATCAATTTCATCATACCAAGCCCTTGGTGCATGTTTCAATCTATACAGTGCCTTGCGCAATCTGTACACCTTAGTTTCTTCATTCTCCTTTACAAAGCCTTGTGGTTGCTCAACATACACTTCTTCCTTTAATACTCCATTGAGAAATACAGACTTCACATCCAGTTGATTCAAGTTCCATTTCTTCTGTGCAGCAAGGGCAATCAAAGTTCTAATGGTATCTAACCTTACCACTGGGGCAAAGGTTTCATTATAGTCAATTCCAGGCTTTTGTGAATAGCTTTTTGCCACCAATCTAGCTTTATTTTTCTGCACACCATATAGATTAAGTCTGGTCATATAAACCCACTTGACACCAATGATAAGTTTATCAAATGGTCTCTCAACAAGTTGCCATGTATTATTCTTCTCTATCATTTCTAACTCAGCTTCCATTGCCTTTCTCCATGATTCATCTTAGCTACATCATCATAGCTTTTAGGTTCAATAATACACATGTAGCACTGAGCCATGATTTCACTTACACTTCTCCACTTTTTAGGTGTAGAGACATATACTTGAGACCTGTCAATTACACTTTCACTTTAAGAAGTAACACGTTGCTCAGAATGAGAACTTTCACTAGTTTCACAGATCTTATCAGCACTTTGATACTCAGTAACAACTGGAAATCTCACTTCATTGCTGATAGTGCAATTCTAATCCTAGGAAGCATTCTTATCAAATGTAACATCTCTTGATAGAATGATCTTCCTTGAAATCGGATCATACAATCTGTACCCTTTCTCACTTACACCATAGCCTACAAAGATGCACTTATGACTATTTTCTTCCAACTTGTGTCTGAGATTTGAAGGAGATGCACATAGCAAAGTGAACCAAAGACCTTCAAATGAGCTATCCCTGGTTTTCTGCCACTGTAAGCTTCAAATGGAGTTGTTTTCTTCAATGCTTTGGTAGGACACCTATTAAGCAAATAAATTGCAGACTGCCCAAAATACATATGGAAGGTTTTTTTCATGTAACATTGACTTTGCCATTTCCACCATAGTCCTATTCTTTCTCTTTGACACTCTATTTTGTTGGGGAGTGTAGGCCATAGTCAACTGTCTTTGAATTCCTAGCTCACTGCAGCACTTGTCAAATTTTTCAGAAAGAAATTCTCCCCCTCTATCACTTCTGAGACATTTAACCTTATATCCACATAGCAATTCAGTCATTGCCTTAAATTTCTTAAAACACACCAATGCATCAGACTTATATCGCAGAAAGTACATTCATGTCATTCTAGTGCAATCATCTATGAACAACAAAAAATACATATTTCCAGAATGAGTTTTAACTTGCATTGGACCACAGATGTCTGTGTGAATCAATTCTAGTGGATCCTTGGCTCTCCAAGTTGATTCAAAGGGAAATGAATCCCTGTGTTGTTTTCCTATCATTTAACCTCACATACATTTGTGGACATTTCCAAATGAGGCAATCCATGCACCATTTCCTGTTCTTCAAGAAACTGGAGACTTCTCCCATTTGCTTTGTATAATTGACCTTCTACACTCCTTTGTTCTCATTACAATCCTTCACAACATGACCTGGTTTCCCACACCCTATACACTTTGGTTTTCCTTCATACTGACACTTACCCATAATGGAACCTGTCACACCATTTGCAATCTCCCTGAGTGTTATTTTGCTTCTGAGCATAATTTGGTCTATGATCCTAATTTCTTCGAGTGTTATTCTGCCTCTAAGCATAATTTGGCATATGATCCCAATTTCTTTTAATGTTATTCTGCCTATGAACAAAGTTAGGCTTGTGATCCCAACCTTTCCCCATTTGCTTCCAGTTCTCTTGAGATCTTTGATTCCCAGAGAATCCACCACTTTTGGAATTCTTAGTTGCAACATTTAAACTTGCAAATGCTCTCTCAGTTGAGGACTCATCATGTACATCAAGCCTTTGCTCGAATCCCTTGAGAGAAGCAACAACTTTTTACCTCAAGAATTTCGAGATCTCTAAAATGCTTAATCACAGAACAAATTGCATCATATGTTTTTGGAAGAGTAATTAGTAATTTCTGCATAATTCTCTCCCTAGATAGTTATTCTCCATAACTTCTCATTTGATTAATAATATCAACAATCTAGAGAGATACACAGATAAAGATTCACTATCCTTACACAAGTATACTTAAAATCTCTACGTAACCCTTGCAATTTTACATTTCTTGTTTATCTCCTCGGAATTCACCCTTCAGAACATCCCAAGCTCCTTTGGATGTCTCTTCATTTACGATTCTGGGGAAGATCTGATCTGAGACAATGCCTTGAATCATTCCAAGCGCACGTGCATCCTTCATCAGGATCTCACTAAATGGCACCACCTCTGGCATCTCCTTCTTCGTCTTATCGACCACAGCTTTCTCAGTCTTCGGATTTGAAGGTTCAAACCCATTTTCAACCAACTCTCACAAACCATACGATTTTAGTATAGTTGTCATACGAATCCTCCAAAACTTGTAGTTCTCTCCATTGAAAACCGAAGCTCTAAGCTCGACACTACTTGATCCAACCATGTTAGACTTGGATTCAAGAAATCTTAATTTTCAGATTCATTTTGAGCACAAAATGCAGCTCAATCGCACTCATAGATTTCATGCCCAGTTTAGACAATGAAACCTGGCTCTGAGGCCATGTTAGTGTGTGTGTGTGTGTGTGTGTGTTTTCTGTATATTTTAATGGAGGTTTTCTGCAACGTTCGAAAATGGCAGAGAATGTAGAGAATTTCAGAGAGAAGATGATTGAATTAATTTTCTAATTTTTTCACACATGAAGCATGTGTGTGTTTGTTACCTTTATACATGGAAAAGAAGGGGGATCCTTCACTCACCAAACCAAGATACAATCTCAACCCTCAATTGGTATCACCCTATGAGATGATGCCACTTGTCTTAATCTATCACTTAAGCTAGATACAAGATTGAGCTGCCATATGATTTAATGACTCAGATTCAAACTAGAAACAAAAACATTTAAACTGATCATTTACCGTCAACCTTTAGCTGAAGGGTTACACACCAACAGATAGTACACTGAATCGAGTTAAAGCTTGCACCTTTTGGGAACTAAAAAAGGAGGAAAAGAAAAGTTAGAGTATGTAATGTGTATTTGCTTGGCAGTACTATGTGGTGCGATGAATATAATTAAATCGAAGGGATTAGAAGTACGAATATTAATGAACATGGGTGTATCCATTCCCAATTTTTTTTTCTCATCCAAATCAACAACATGCCGAATCAACTTAAAAAAAAAAAAAAAAAAAAAAAAAAAAAAAGCTAACTACATGCCGAATCAACTCAAAAGGTCACACAGATAGGCCCAAACATGTAAAAATGATAGTCCATTGCAATCCATAGTTGGCAATACTAACATATTCTCATCTTACTTGAGCAACAAAAAGCACCAACTCATTAACTCATAACAATATGATTCATGCACATTTACCACCTTTTCCAAGTATTAGAAAGTTTGAAGGAAACTCCGAAATAAGAGCAAAACGAAATGCATAGCTAGTTCCAAATATTCGTTGCAAATGGTAAATAAAATGGCTATGTATTTTCAATGATAAAGAGCTTAACAGATATTGAAATTTTTATAAATAAGTTGTGTATTTTCTTCTGCTATCAACAACTATATTTCCATGTGAACTATGTAAATAAATTTTGATATGAACTATGTATATGTAATTGTCCAACAGTTTTTTCTTGTATATATGCATAGATTTGGTTATCTTAGGTTGGGTCAACTTCATCAGTATGTTGCTTAAAAGCAAGGATTTTTGTTGGCTTTTTCAAATTACTAATGATGGAATTCCAATGCCTTAGCCAGGTGTATCAAAATTATGTGTTTCATTTGATCAGCCCTTTGCAATTTTGCATAGTGATAAAATTTCAAAATCAATTCCAGTTTGTCATTGCTTAAACAAATTAGAATTTTAGAACCAATCCCACTGAAAAATAAGCAGCTAACATAAATAGCAATGAGCAGATAAATGAAGAGGCACAATTATGATTTGCTTAAAGGTGACCGAGTAAAGAGATAAATTGGAAAATTAACGAAATAAGGTTGTAACAAGATGAACTATGTTACCAGATTGTTCAGCTACTGTATTAAATATGAGAAATAAAGTTAAAGAGCAGTCAATACCGGTCGAGTTCTCTTCAAGTATTTGCCCTGAGTCTTCAATATGAGAAATAGAGTTAAAGAGGAGTAAATAGCAGATTGCCCATACTTTTATGCATGGCTAAAATATTTATTTCTGAAATGGTCTCTCAAACTTGTGTGCATAGTTAAAAGTAATGAATTTGGTCTGCAAGGATGTTTGAAATTTACGTTTTGCATTTTGATCTTAGAAAAATGAGAGAGAACTATAAAAAAAAAAAAGGGAAAAAGAAAATTTGGGAATCTAATCTGTACACGCAGAAAAAACCCAATAGCCTAAAAAGATGTATATGTAGTAGCAATCGTACAAGAGTAACAATACTGGAAAAATTAAAACGCTACTGTAAGATCTCATAAAAATTGAAGTAAAGAAAGGATCTGAGATGTGAGAGACATATATACCATGTGTGTTCTAAGTTTGATGTGCAATGTAAAGGTGGCAGTGGCTAATGAGTAAAGGCTGATGGCATTGATCCTTTCTCGGAGAAAATGGGAAGAAGGATCTGCAAGAGAGTGAGAGAGTGGAGACTATGTTGTATTAATAGGATGGTAATTGATAAAGGTAAGAGTGGATCATACGATGAGATTGACTTGCAGCGGCGACATATTTGTTATTAGGATGGTCCTTGTATTTCACTCTGAAATGCTTCTTATATAAAACTGAAAGAAAAATTTATAGAAATATAATTACAAAAATTAAATTGTAGTAAAAAAAAACCATCGATTTGAAGAGAGAGAGAGAGAGAGAGAGAGAGAGAGATACAGCGTTGATCATACATGAAAACGATGAAGGCACTTGTAAGCTTCTTAGGATTATTTGGATCCTTAGAAGCCTTCTTGCTCGTGCCAGCGCTTTTACTCTTTAATCAATCAAAATTAAAAAAAAAAAAACACAAACAAACCACTACTATCATCCTGCTCACTCTGTCCAGATTCCATGATTCGAAATAAACCAAAAGGGAAAAACAAACACAAAAAGAATAAGGAAAGATAAAACCTAGGTAAAATTTCACAAACAAATTAGCAACAATTTTCCATTAAGAAAAAGAAGCGGTAACAATTGTCCCTTAAAGAATAAAAAAAGAATAACCACAATTTTATTTGGCAAATACTCCAGCTTTGTATCTTCCTAACATAGGATCTATTCTTTTCCTGTAAGAAATATTATTGTCTCGATGCTCATTGGAATATAAGGGAATGCATGTTATTTTCACATTTTGAAAATAACTGAAGTTCTTACAAAAAATAAAAAAAATAAAAAAAGGTAACATTGTTTGCAGTCTGTCTTTGTGTACCAACAATATAAAGCCAAAGTGACAATGTGAATTCACATTCCAAATTGAAGGAAAAAAAATGAAAGCGAAAGATACCAACCTTTTTGCTCAGTCTGATAGTGACAATTTATCCAACGGGAATATATTTTTCTTTCGAAAATTGCAATTGTGTTCCCCAAAACAAAGTGCAATAAAATCGAAGACATTTGAAGATGAAATGAAGCTCTATCATTGACAAATCTAGAGGCTGTAGACAAAGCAGACTTCTCGAAGATGATAGATGAGTACATCTACCATCATTGACAAAGACGTAATTTCACTGTACCAAGAGAAAAAAAGAACGAAGTGGCTGAGGGTATTTCTGCCATTTCACTGTTTATGAACAGTGAAAAACAGTGTTAGGGGAACCCAGTTTTAGTATATGTGTAATATAATATAATTTGGCATATTTGCAAAAGAGAAACATGAGTGGGAGAAAAATAAGAGGTATTATAGTGACTTGAGTATATGCCAACAAATTAATATAACCAATGTTTATCATCCGAACATTATAATTGAAACTATTTATTATATTTATCATCATTTAAATATTGTATATACAAAAAAAATATTTAATTTGAAATTTTTTTAGCCAATCCTATGCATGTCTCCACATCGGAGGACACAAACACTATCTTATAAAGCATTTCAACACTAAAATCAACACAAATAATTAAATGCATACTTACAGATAAGTAAAATGTGTGCCTAAAGAATGTGGAGGAGGATAAAATTGGCATGAAAAATTCACTCAAAAAGTGACTAGACCATAATCTGACTCATCACAATAATTAGGAAAAGTTTGCTTACCTCAGTTTTTGTTAAATCATTTTGGCATATTGTTTATTAAATTGAGAATATTTTTATCATTTTGATCCTTATTTAACAAAATTTTTCACGAAATAACTAAAATAATTGATGGTGGACAAATTCAGGAATCACTTTAGCTTAAAAGCCTAAACTAATATTTATTCATGAGTATTGGATGCATGGGACGAGGATGTGTTATGCAAAATAAGTGAAACACAAAAAGACACCACAAACAATGCAAAAACATCAAAGAAGTGGAGGGAGGAGCCAGATCCAAACGCGACCCTCACTATGATTGATAAGTTAGCATGGTGTCTTATTCGTTGGGTAATGAGTTTATGTCTTTAACGTGGAGAGAAACTCTCATCCAACCAAACACGTTACATAAGAAGCATCTAACGATCAATTGTTTACTTTATGAACAAGTGGTAAACATATACCAGACCGTTGGTATCCTTAAAGCTACGCATTGAATGCAAGATAGAACTTCTCCTTAACCGGGGGCTTTGGTATTTCTGCAGTACATTTTCTCCTTTCTTCTGTTCTTATGCATGACTAAGATCTGGAGACATGCATCTCATTGGCTTATGAACATGATTAGCCTGCAAGCTTTCTAAGTTTCGAATTAACTAAAGTTTGCGTGCGCCCGTGTTTTACGCGCGAGTTTGAGAATATTTCTTGATCAATAGTCAATACATTCACTAGATTTATAGTGCCGGCTAGTTTCATTATGGGCTTGTTGGACCATACCCAACCCCGGCTCACATAAAAAGAAAGAAAAAAACTCTTGATATAGACGTAAGGTCACAATTAAAATCAGTATAGAAAAGGTCCCAAATTAAATTTTTTTGTTTCTTATGTTGAATAATAAAACATAAACGTCAAAGCCCTTACACTTGCCATAAGTTCATAGTTAAATCGGTACTTCTCTTTCATTTCTAGCTCATTTCTCTACCCACGTTCACTCTCAATAACCTGTTAAACCAATGTTTTGGGTTGGGGGTGGTGGTGTGGTGTGGAAACTTGTTAGACCAATGTATCCAAAAGAAAATCTTACCATACCAAATATCAATACTTGCTAAAAAATTGAAGAAATATCAAGAATATTGGCGATGTATAATGCGATTTGATATATTGATTTGAATTTCTATCATAAAATAAAATCAATTTGTTATGAAAACTCTATCTAAGAATGTGTTTATGTATAATATTGTCGCCATTTTCGTGTTGCTACTTTTTCTAAAGTCTTTGCCTAAGTAGGTCTTGTTGAGAATAAATTCTACATTAATGAAAGGATGAACCTTGCATGAATTTATAAGTAGTTGTGCTACTCCCCATATAACCATAGGTTTTATGGTAGAACCTCAACTTTCTTCATGGTATTAGAGCAGGTTGTCCCACATATGAACCCCAACTACCACACTTGCTTTACGTCACCCGATTTGTGTTGTCCATTTGTTAGGCTTTGAAAATTCACTACACGTAAGGGGACATGTTGATAATGAATCCCATATTGATGAGATGATGGACCTTGCATGTGCTATAAGTAGTTGGTTACTCCCCATATTGACAACACAACTCCGCTTGTTGAGATTTTCAAGCCTAACACGTGGACAACACACCTCCGATGACATGGAACATGTGTGGCCGTTGGGCTTCACATGTGCAATAACATGTTCTGATACCATGAAGAAAGTTTAGGTTTCACCATAAAACCAATTGGCAATATGGGGAGTAGCCTAACTATTTATAAGCACATGTTAGGCCTCTTGTCTCATCAATGTGGGATTTGTTCTTAATAGGTCAAAGAAAAAGTATATGAAGTGTGACTACAGTGGGAACATGGGTTTAAATGAGATGGGGGGTGAGGACTGGAGATCATGAAGTACCAAAGAGCAAACGCTTTCGCTATCTTGGATCTGTCTTACAAAATAACGGAGAATAATAGAGATCTCAACCACATAATACAACTTGGATCACTACAAGAAACGTAAGTAATAGGGGCAATAAAATTTACATCTAAAAGTATTTATTAGGAGCAAATACCATGAAAAACCGCCTCTAATAGAAATGAGTGGTGGAAAATATATTCGCATCTAAAAGTGGCTTTGCTATTGTTATTAGGGGCGAATAGTGTCAAATTTTTGCACCTATTAGTCTATCTGCCATGTTGGTCTATCTGCCCCAAATACTTCGGAACCGGATCCCCTCTGGATCCTTGTAAATTAGACCTCCTGACCAAGGGATCCGGGTCGTTGAAATTTGATCCAACGACTACAATTATTATAAAATTTAGAGGGGCCCCTTACCCGGATTCCTTGGTCAGGAGGCTCAGTTTTCAAAGGGATCCGGTTCCAAATACTTCCAATATAATAAAAAATTAATATACATAATCAATAATATATTACTTATTTGGATAATAAATAATTTCTTTTGAACAATTCATTGTTCTCATTGGTTACAGAACCCGATCCAACTCTTCATCTTCTCCAAAAAAATAAATCTTCTCTTTAATCCCTTGTTCTCAATCTCTAATGAAGCTATCCAAAATAAATCTTGAAGCCGTTTCTTCTCTAAACTTTCATGCATGACAGACGATTTCAACTTGCGTTCTTTCTTAATTAGTAACTGTAATCAAAGAACAACTATTACACTAAATCATAACCGCAATTTTAAAACAAATAGAACAATAATAAAATTTCAATACCACAAACAACTAAATCTACAAGCAAAATCTGTGGAGCCTAAAATAATCCCAAAAATTCTAGAGGCGACGCGTGGACTTTTGCTCAAGAAAGACAAGATTACCTTCATTAAATCCTCAGATACTCCCATGTGCAGCTCATACCCCTAAAGGTCTCAGCAGCTAAATACGACTGCCCATAGCTCACCTGTCCTTGGTAAGGAAAAGTCAAAGCATTAAAGATAAGTAATCCCTATTTAAATCAATTAGGGATAATTATTCCATTATCTCAAAATATTATCTCCTATTTAATATCTTAAGAATATTTCTCCATAAAACCTTGGCCAATAGGATGCTGCCATGTGTAAGGTAAAACCCTAACACTATGGGTGACCCTCTCCTCCTATATATACCTTTAATTCTACCAATTTTCGGTAAACTTTTGCTACCTAAAAAGCCCTAAACACTTTACTCTTCTCAGAGAAACTAACTTAAGCATAAGAGACCCATTGGCCTAACCCCCCCTCGTGGGCGCGTGAGGCTTAGGTCCTTGATCAAAGGTGTTGATTGTTTTGCAGGTACATTTTCGTCAAAGTTAGAGATGGCGGAAATTTGCATCGACAAATTGGTGCTTTCATTGAGAGTTGATTCAAATACTTGAAGAAGCCTCTTGCATCGACAAATTGCCCTCGCGCAGTAGACCAGCTTGGTGAACCAGCTCCTTGAATTCATCGAGATACAGCGCACCCCAGATAAGGTGTCTAGAAGTAGAACAAGGACGAAAGAATGTGACTCATTCTAACGACTGTCCCTGTAAAAATTTGCTCAGCCTGCCATGAACCATGCGTTCGAGTAGTGTACACTCTCGTTTGGGCCATCGGGAGAAAGTCTTTTCTCGCCTCAGTGTGCAGAGAAGCGTTTATTCCCAACTCGACTCACGAGTCATTGTGCATTCGAGGTTGGGTCCACACTCTGATGAGCACTCAGGACATTCCAGGTGCAGCGTCCACACGAGGCTAGGCCCACAAAGAGATCATCCTGCAAGGCACCGGAGTAGGTAGCTACATTAAGAACCGAGAAAAGCACGAGAGTAGTCCAGCTCAAGTTCCACTAGCAGCCTTAGCCAAGCGCAACGATAAGTAGCATATAATGAACCACGTGCATCGCGAATGCTACACAGAGAAGTAAGCCATGCCAAAGAGCAATATGGACCAGTAGGTCAACACCATGGGCAACCGAAGACACTGCTACTCCACCAGCCGTAAATCCAGCGCATTGAGACTATTGACGATGCTCTTCGTAGAGACGTGGCTAACATAAGTAGGTCATCGTTTACATATGAGATCGAGCAGATGGGGCCACTGCAGAAGTTTAGCCCACCACATTTCACCTTGTTCAAATGAGATGAAGATCCGAACAGACACTTGAAGCATTACCGAAGCGCCATGACCTTCTATTGCAACAATGACGTTCTCATGTGCAAAATCTTTGCCACAACGCTCCAAGGTGATATGCAAGACTAGTTCCATACCCTGCCAGCCACGTTCAATCTGGAACTTCAACGAACTTTCCTTGGTTTTCACTAAG